AAGTTCAAAGCCAGCCTCAGCAACTCAGCTAGGCCTTAAGCAGTTCAGCAAGACCCTGTCTCAAAATAAGAAATAAAAAGGGCTAGGGATGTGGCTCAGTGGTTAAGCACCCCTTGGTTCAATCCCCAGTGCCACCAAAACAAAATAAATAAATAAATGATTTAAAATACAAGATAGGATCAGTAATGCTGAGTTTCTTTTTGCCAAAGGCTCTATTATGTCATGGCATAGATATTACTATCATCAGTAGGTAGAGATAATTTTACTTATTTTTTTCCAAATTGGATATCTTTTATTTATTCATTTCCAAATTGGATGTCTGTTTTTTTTTGTTTTTGTTTTTGTTTTTTTGCCTCATTACTGTAGCTAGAACTTTCAGTGTTGTATTGAATGGAAGTGAGGAAAGTAATGTCCATCCTTGTTTTGTTTCTGATCTTAGAGGAAACATTTTCAGTCTTTTACCATTGAGTATGTATTTCATTTGAGGTTTTTCGTATATGGCTTTTATTAATTTCTCTACATTTATAGTTTTGTAAGTGCTTTTATCATGAAAGAATATTGAATTTTGTCAAATGCTCTTTCTCACTAAGATGATCATGTGGTTTTCATTCTTTATCCTGTTACTGTGGTGTGTTACATTGATCAATTTTAGAATGTTGAACCTTGTTTGCATTCAAGCAATGAATTCCACTTGGTCATGGTGTGTAATTGTATTAATATGTTGCTGGATTTGGTTTGCTAATACTTTGTTGAAAATTTTTGCCTCAATATTCATAAGGTACATGGAACTGCATTTTCTGTTGTCATATTTATTTTTTGGATTTGGTATCAGTGTAATATTGCCCTCGTAGAATCAGAGTCTAGGACTTTTCTTTGTCAGAATTTTTTTTTATTTTTTTAAATTACTGATTTAATTTCCTAACTACTAACAGGTCTATTTAGATTTTCTATTTCTTTGTGATTTAGTCCTGTTAGGTTTTGTGTTTCTAGGAACTTATCCATTTCACCTACATTAACCAAGTTGTTGGCGTATAACATAGTACTTTCTTATGATACATTTTATTTTTTAAAAATGATTTTTATTTATTTTTTAAAGCTTATTTATTTGTTCTAATCAGTTATACATGACAGCAGAATGCTCTTATATTCATTGTACACAAATGAAGCACAGTTTTTTACTTCTCTGGTTGTAACCAAAGTAGGGTCACACCATTTGTGCAATCATACATATTCCTAGGGTAATGATGTCTATCTCATTCCACCATCTTTCTACCCCCATGCCCCCTCCCCTCTTCCCTTTGCCCCATCCAAATTTCCTCCACTCATCCCATGCCCCTCCCTCCCCACCATGGATTAGTATCCACTTATCAGAGAAAACATTCGGCCTTTGGCTTTTTGGGATTGGCTTACTTTGCTTAGCATGATATTCTCTGACTCCATTCATTTATCTGCAAATGCCATAATTTTATTCTCTTTTAATGCCAACTAATATTCCATTGTGTATATATACCACCATTCTTCTATTGAAGGACATCTAGGTTGCTTCCACAGTTTAGCTATTGTGAATTGAGCTGCTATAAACATTGATGTGGCTGCATTACTATAGTATGTTGATTTTAAGTCCTTTGGGGATAGACATAGGAGTGGGATAGCTGGGTCAAATGGTGGTTCCATTACAAATTAAAAAAAAATTTAAATATTTATTTTTTAGTTTTAGGTGGACACAATATCTTTATTTTATTTTTATGTGGTGCTGAGGATTGAACCTAGTGCCCTCACGCATGCCAGGCAAGCACACTACCACTTGAGCCACATCCCCAGTCCCTTTTCCATTCCAAGTTTTTAAAGGAATCTCCATACTGCTTTCTAGAGAGGTTACACTAATTTGCAATCCCCACCAGCAATGTATGAATGTGTCTCCCCTCCCATATCCTTGACAACTGTATTGTTGTTTGTATTCTTGATGATTACCACTCTGACTGGCATGAGATGAAATCTTAGAGTAGTTTTGATTTGCATTTATCTAGTTACTAGAGATGTTAAACATTTTTTCATATATTTGTTTGATTAAATGTATGTCTTCTTCTGAGAAGTGTCTGTTCAACTCCTTAGCCCATTTATTGATTGGATTGTTTTTTTTTTGTTTTGTTTTGTTTGTTTTTTTGGTGTTAAATTTTTTGAGTTCTTTATATATCTTTGGAGATTAGTACTCTATCTGACATGCATGTGGCAAAAATTTGCTACCAAATGTAGGCTCTCTGTTCACCTCATTGATTGTTTCTTTTGCTGAGAAGCTTTTTAGTTGAAATCCATCCCATTTATTGATTCATGATTTTATTTCTTGGGCTTTAGGAGTCTTGTTAGGGAAGTCAGGGCCTAATCCAACATGATGAAGATTTGGGCCTATTTTTTCCTCTACTAGGCACAGGGTCTCTGGTTTAATTCCTACGTCCTTGGTCCATTTTGAGTTGAGTTTTGTGCATGGTGAAGAGATAGGGGTTTAGTTTTCATTTTGCTGCATATGGATTTCCAGTTTATGATGTTTTATTTTTACATAAAACATTGTTCCTACTTTCATTTCTGATTTTTAAAATTTGAATATTCTATTTTTTCAATTAGTCCATTTAGCTAAAGATTTGTCAATTTAGAATTTTTGTTGTTGTTGTTGTTATTTTTGGTCCTGGGGATTGAACCCAGGGCCTTGTGTATGCAAGCCAAGCATTCTACCAACTGAGCTATATCTCCAGCCCAGATTTTTTTTTTTTCTTTTGGACAAAGAACCAATATTTAACTTCTTAGATTGTTGCTATTATTTTTCTGTTCCCTATTTCATTTATCTCTGCTCAAATATTTATTATTTTCTTCCTCTGCTAGTTATTGTTTTAGATTGTTCTTTTTCTAGTTCTTTAAATTATAAAGCTAAGCTGTTGATATGAGAGCTTTTGTCCTATTAATTCATTTAAATTTATTTATTTTTTGGAAAAGAATGGAAATTATATTCTATTCTTTTTTAAGAATATTTATTTTTTAGTTGTAGTTGGACACAATATCTTTTTTAATTTACTTATTTTTTTAAACTAATACCCAGACTTCACTAAAGATATTTAAAGAAAATTTCACTTACTAGTGAAATACTTTGTGATTAGCTGTGATATTGCCATTAGTATTTCAACAATTACTAATAGGGCATTATGTAAAATTGTGGATGTGTAACCGACGTGATTCTGCAATCTGCATTTGGGGTAAAATTGGGAGTTCATAACCCACTTCAGTCTAATGTATGAAATATGATATGTCAAGAGCTTTGTAGTGTTGTGAACAACCAATAAAAAAAATAGAATTTTAATCAATAAAAAAAAAACAATTTTTTATGTCAATTTTATTGAGGTACAATTAACATACAGTAAGACTTGCCAAATTTTTTTTTGAGTGTATGTGGTGCAGGGGATTGAACCCAGGGCCTTGTGCATGCGAGGCTATATCCTCAGCCCTTATTTACTTATTTTTATGTGATGCTGAGAATCGAACCTAGGCCCTTGCACGGGCAAGGCAAGCGCTCAACCAGAGTCACAGCCCCAGCCTAGAAATTATTTTATTCTTTTTTAAAATAATATTTTATACCTTTATTTATTTATTTATTTTCATGTGGTGCTGAGAACCGAATCCAGCGCCTTGCACATCCTAGGCAAGCACTCTACCACTGATGCACAACCCCAGCCCTTATCCTAATCTTGATCAGGGAAGATAACCTAGGATGGAACAGTAACTGAACCAAAGATCTATTTATGAAGATGGAATTCTTAGTTTTAAACTGAAAAAAAGATGATAATCATATTTCAATGCCAAAAACTTGTTCAAGCAAAAAGGAGGCATCTACAGAGTCTGAGAGTAGAAAAAGATGAAACTGAAGTCACAATGAATAGGAGGTAGCACATAATTATAAAGAAACATTTCATTCACATATCAAAACCTGTAGTAAGTATTCAATGAGAGTCAATTTGGGGACCAATATCACAATGAATTATTCCTATTTCTCTTCCTATTGATGTGATTCTTCTATCCATACAGAATAAAACTCTGATCATAAGTAGATTATTTTTACTACTGCAGTAAGTAAAAATAACTCAGATATTATGTATAAAGTAGATAGGTTAACAAAGATAATGTAAGAAACTCCTAAAGAGGGCTGGGGATATAGCTCAGTTGGTAGAGTGCTTGCCTCACATGCACAAGACTCTGGATTCAATCCCTGGCATCACAAAAAAAGAGAAAAAAAAGAAATAAAGGAAATAAACAGCTAGAGCTGAGCACCATGGCACATGCCTATAATCTTAGCAGCTGAGGAAGTTGAGGCAGGAGAATCATGCGTTCAAAGCCAGCCCCAACAAAAGCAAGACACTAAGCTACTCAGTAAGATCCTGCCTCTAAATAAAAGACAAAATAGGGCTTTGGATGTGGCTTAGTGGTTGTATGCCTCTGAGTTCAATTCCTGGTACCCTCCCTCCAAAAAAAGAAATACGTTAGAATTGTATCACTCATATATTCAGTACTTTTTGTTTTTGCTACCAAGGATTGACTCCAGACACACTCAACCACTGAGCCTCATCCCCAGCCCCCCCCTTTTTTTTTTTTGAGACACAATCTTGCTAAGTTGTTTAGGGCCTCACTAAGTTGCTGTGGCTGGCTTTAAACTTGTAATCCTCCTGCCTCAGCCTCCTGAGCCAGTGGGATTACAGGTGCTTATCAGAACTATCTTCTTTTTCTGTGCAAAAATCCCAATGGCATTGGAGTTGCTTCTTGAAGTGCACCTTTCTTCCTCCCTTTCTTCCTTTTTTTTTTAGGGGGGGTATTGAACTCAGAGGCACTCAACCACTGAGCCACATTCCCAGCCCTATTTTGTATTTTATTTAGAGACATGATCTCACTGAGTTGCTGAGTGCCTCGAAGTTGCCAAGACTGGCTTTGAACTTGTGATCCTCCTGCCTCAGCCTCTGGAACTGCTGGGATTACAGGTGTGTGCCACTGTGCCGGCTGAAATGCACTTTTTTTTTTTCTTTTACTATTCTTCCATAAATACTTTAAAGAGTCATTGGACCCCCCAGTCCACTCATAGGCAGCTGACACATTGTTTACTTCTGGAAATGGTTGCTGCCCCCACAGACTTTGGGAAATCAGCAACCCAGATCTTTAGCGAATAAATGTTGAAACTAGAATTATCTCTGATATTCAAAGATGATATGGAAGTCAGTCATGCTGTTTCCAAGGTGACAGGCTAGTCTCCTCAGTTTACCCAGCAACCAACAGGCTGACAGGAAATAAGAAAGGCAGGTCTGCTGGGTCACTGGTTCCATGTGCCCCACACTCTTTGAGGAAATAACCCCCAAACAGATCAGTGTCTCCAGAGTGAGAAGCATCTCTATTTTTTTCATTGCAAGAATTTGCTATGGTTTGAATGTTCCCCAAGGTTTCATGTGTAGAAGTTTAATGTCCATTTTGAGATATTAAGAGGGTGGAAATTTAATCTGATTATGATATTTAGAAAGGGGCTTTTGGGAAGGTGTTAGATTTAGGTAAGGTTACTGGGGGAATTCTGGTGGTTTTAAAAGAAGAGAGAGAGGGACAGAGCCAGAAGAACTCACCCTGTCTCTTGCCATGTGATGCCATGTGCCTCCTTGGGAGTCTGCTAACAAGAAGATCATCTGCCATGGTTACAACTAAAGGGGCGGGGGATGTCTTGCCAGAGTCTGCAGCATGGTGTTTGAAGTTCAGCCTCCAAAGCTGTGAGTTAAATATGTCTTTTCTTCCTAAAGTTAGCCTTGCTCGGGTTTTCATAATATTAATGAAAACCAGACGAGTACATCATTTATAGCAATAAACTTCCTCCTTAGCACTGTTTTCACTGTGTACAAGGGTCCAGTAAATTTTGGTATGTGGCATTTTCATGTTCTTCATGTTCATTTATCACCAAGTATTTTTCTAAAAAAAAAAAAAATTCTTTTGTGATTTCTTCTTTCATCCATTGGTTGCTTTAGAGTGTGAGGTGGTTTGGATGTGAGGTGTCCCCCAAAAGCTCACGTGTGAGACAATGCGAGAAGGGTTAGAGGTGAAATGATGGGGTTACGAGAGCCTTCACCTAATCAATGCATTAATTCGATGATAAGTATTAACTGGGTGATAACTGAAGGCAGTTAGGGTGTGGCTGGAGGAGGTGGGTCATTAGGGGGTGTGTCTTCCGGTGTAGATTTTGTTCTTGGTGAGTGGAGTCTCTCTCTCCGTCTCTCTCTGCTTCCTGGTACCATATCCTGAGCTGCTTTTTTCTCTGCTGGGCCCTTCCATTGTGATGTTAGTTCTTGGCATCTCTGGCCCAGAGCAATGGAGTTGGCCACCTATGGACTGAGACCTCTGAAACCGTGGGCACCAACTTTTCCTCCTCTAATTGTTCTTGTCAGTTCTTTTGGTCACAGCAATGAAAAAGCTGGCTGAAACAGAGTGTGTTGTTTCATTTCCATAAATTGTGAATTTTCTTTTTCCCTGTTATTGATTTTTAACTTTATCTCATTGTGATAGGAGAAAATAGTTTGTGTGATAGCAATGTTTTCTAATCTTTTGAGATGTAATTTGTGGTGAAAAATATGGTCTAATCTGGAAAATGTCCCACGGGCACCTGAGAAAAATGTTTATTGTTGCTATGTATGTCTATCTTATAGTTATTTATTGTGTTGTTCATATTCTATTTCCTTATCTTCTATGTCCTTTTGTATTCATTATGGAGAATAGGGTATTAGAGTCTTCAATTGTTATTTTAGGCTTATCTATTGCTCGATTCAATTCTGACAATCTCCTGTCCCACCACCCCTTGCGCTTTATTATGGTACAATTGACAAATAAAAATTGTACATATTTAGGGTGTAAAATATGATGATTTTACATACACTCATGCACCACATTTTTTAACCCACTTATCTGTTAACAGAAACTTCAGTTGTCTCCATATCTTGGTTACTGTGAATAATGAATGCTGGAATGAGCATGGCATTGAAGGAATCTTTATAAGGTCAGTACTTCATTTCCTTTGCATATATACCCAGGAGTGGGATTGCCAGATTATATGGTAGTTCTATTTTTAATTTTTAAATTTTTTTTGTGTGTGTGTGGAATTGTCACACTATTTTTCTTAAGGCCACAGTGATTTACATTCCTAACAACTGTGCAGAAGGGTCCTGTTCTCTCCACATCCCTAAAAAACACTTATTATATTTTTGTCTTTTTGATAATTTGCCATTTTAATAGGTATGAGATGATATGTCATTGTGGTTTTAATTTACATTTCCCTGATGGTTCATGATGTTGAGTATTTTTTTCATATACCTGTTAATAATTTGTATGTCTTCTTTTGAGATGTCTGTTCAAATGCCTTTTTTTTTTTTTTAAATTGGGGTATTTGTTTTCTTGTTATTGAATTGAGTTCCTTATATAGTTTGGGTATTAATCTCTTATAGGATATATGATTTGCAGTTTATTTTCTCTCATTCTGCAAGTTGTTTCTTCATTCTGTTGATGTTATCACTTGCTGTGCAGAAGCTTTTAAACTGAAATGTAGTCCTGTTTGTTGCTTTTCCAGTGAGTTTCCGAAATTCATTGCCCAGACTGAGGTTAAGAAGCTTTCCCTAGAAAAGTGGGGGTGAGTCTCCTAAAAATCAAAGGGAGATCAGTAGAAGAAAGGGAACAAGGGGAGGGAGGTGGGAAGGGAGGGGAAGTGCTAGGGAGTGAAATTGGCCACATTAATATTGTTCTATTTTGTGTGTGTACAAATATGTAACAACAAATCCGACAATATGTTCAACTATAATGCATCAATAAATATGAGGGGAAAGGAAGCTTTTCCCCTATGCTTTTTTTCTGATAGTTTTTCAGTTTCGGGTCTTATGTTTGAGCCTTTAAACACGGAATTGATTTTTGTATGTGTTGTAAGACAAGGGTTAAATTTTATTCTTTTGCACATGGATATCCTGTTTTTTCCTCAACTGTTATTTATTGAAGATCATATCCCTTCCCTATTGTGTATTCTTGGCACCCCCATCAAAGACCATAAATACATGGATTTATTTCTTTGTTCTCTAATCTGTTCCATTGGTCTATATGTCTGTTTTTTTTTTTTTTTTAGTTATTGTTCTTAGTACTGTGCTGTTTTGATTACTAGCCTTGTACCATATTTCAAAATCAGATGATATGGTACCTCTAACATTTTTCCCTTAAGATTTCTTTGTCTATTTAGGTTCATTTGTGGTTCCATAAAAATTTTAGTATTACTTTTTTCCACATTTTTTTGTGGAAAATGTCATTGGAATTTAACATTCTTACATTAAAACAATCATATTTAATTTATACCAGTTTAATATTAATAACATACAAAAATTCTGCTCCTTTTTGTCTCTGTTCTCATCCCTTTAGATGTTAATGTTACAAATTGATATCTTTATATGTTGTGTTACAAAAACATAAGTAATACTTTAGAAATTTTTAAAAATATTTATTTCTTTTAGTTTTTTAGATGGACACAATATCTTTATTTTATTTTTATGTGGTGCTGAGGATCGAACCCAGTGCCTCACACATGCCAGGCGAGCGTGCTACCACTTGAGCCACATCCCCAGCACCTAAATAATACTTTTTAAAATGCTTGACTATTAAATTATGTAGTAAAAAAATGTGGATATAGTAAAAAAAAAAGTGGAGTTACAAACCAAAGTTATAATAAAATAGGTTTTATGCTAATAACTTTGCAGTATGTTAATTTCTTAAATCATGTAGAAAACAAAATGTGAAATTATAAAGCACTTTGTGAATGTGAAGAGATAGCCTACAGAATGGGAGAAAATCTTTGCCACCTGCAACCTCAGATAGAGCATTAATCTTAAGGATATATAAAGAACTCAAAAAACTTAACACCAAAAAAGAAAGAAAAAAAAAAAGAAAAGAAACAAAACCAAAAATAATCCAATCAATAAATGGGCAAAGGAATTGAACAGGCATTTCACAGAAGAAATATGGTCAATGAATATATGAAACAATGTTCAACATCTCTAGCAATACAAAGAGATGCAAATCAAAACTACACTGAGATTCATCTCACGCCAGTTAGAATGGTAATCATCACGAATACAAGCAGCAATAAGTGTTGGCAAGGATGTGGGAGAAAAGGCACACTCATACATTATTGGTGGAACTGCAAATTGGTGAAACCACTATGGAAAGCAGTATGGAGATCCCTAAGAAGAATTGGAATGGAACCACCATTTGACCCAGTCATCCCACTCCTCAGTATATAACCAAAGGATTTAAAATCAGCATACTATAGTGACACATCCATATCAATTCATAATAGCTAAACTATGGAACCAACCTAGGTGTCTTTTAACAGGGTACCTGCTCCTGTTCTGGAAACTTCCTGGGAAGTTATACTCTATGTATATATAAAATGTCAAAATACATTCTACTTTCATGTATAATTAAAAAGAACAAATAAAAAGTTAAAAATAAACCACTTTTGCAATAGTATTTTAGCTTTTATTTTGTTTAGTAACAGCTTTTATAATTGCCTATGTATTTATCTTATCTGTGATTTTCATTTCTTCACTTTTTATGGCTTTGAGTTACCATCTAGTGGCCTTTCCTTTCATCCTGCAGGACTCCCTTGAGCATTTCTTACAGGACAGATGTTGTGATAATGAACTCCACCTACTTTGCTTATCTGGAGTTATCTTAAATTCTCCATTTTTTGAAGGACAGTTTTTCCAGATATAAGATTCTTGTTTCATATTTTTTTGTTTATTAAATTTTTTTTGTAGCACTTTGAATCTACCAACCCACTGCTTTCTAGACTCCAAAGATTCTTATAGGAAATCTGCTGATAATCTTATTGGGTATCACTTGTATGTAATGAGTTGCTTCTGTTTCTGCTTTCAAAATTCTTTGTTTATGGCTTTCAACAGGTTGATTAGAATGTATCTCTCTATTAGTCAGCTTTTTGTTGCTGTGACAAAATGCATAAGAAAATTAACTTAAAGGAGAAAGTATTTATTTTGACTCACTGTTTTAGAAGTTTCAGTTTAGGGTCACTTGACTTCATTGTTTCTGGGCTTGTGATGAGGAAGAGCACCATAGTAGGGACGTGTGGTGGAGTAAAGCTGCTCATATTATGGTGGCTGAAAGAGAGAGAGGTGGGTGGGGGGAGAGAGAGGGAGGCAGGGAAGGGTAGAGCCAGGGACAAAATATAGCATTTAAGAGCATTCCCCCAGTGACCTACTTATTCCAACCAGCCCCACCTCATAAAGGTTACACTACCATCCAATAGCCCACTACACTATTAATCCATCAGTGGATTGATTAGTTCATCCATGAGGCTAGAGTTCTCATGATTCAATTACCCTCTAAAGACCCCACCATTAAATACTGCTGCATTGGAGAGACTTAATTTTCAACACAGAAGCTTCTGGGGGACATTTCAGACCCACACAGTAGCAATCTCCACATTGGTCTTTTTGAGTTCACCCTTTTTGGAATTAATTGAACTTCTTGGATGCTTACATGCATGTCTCTTGTCACTTAGGAAGTTTTGGGCCATTATTCTAATAATCTTTTCTTCTATGAATCATACAATGACTCATAATATGTTGATTTTATTTTCTTATTATGTCAATTTCCATTTTATTTCTACTAAAAACAGAAGTGCTCAGCTTGATTGTATTTCAGCCTAGAATGAATTTCTCCAGACTTTGTTGACTGTTCAGTTTTCTTTAGTGTTACTTTTTTCTATTCCTCAGTCAATAATTTCCTTTGTTCTATATTCAAGTTTGTTGATTCTTCCTTTCATCTGCTCAAATCTGCATTTGAATCTCTTTAGTGAATTTTTTTTTCATTTTAGTTATTATATTTGTCAATTCCAGAATTTCTTTTTGGTTTGCTTTTAGGTTTTCTATCTCTTTACTGATATTTTAATTTTTTAATATTTATTTTTTAGTTGTAGTGGACACAATACCTTTATTCTATTTAATTTATTTTTTATGTGGTGCTGAGGATTGAACCCAGGGCCTTGCATGTGCTAGGCAAGTGCTCTACCGCTGAGCCACAACCCCAGCCGCTGATATTTTCATTTTGTTCATTGATTATCTTCTTGTCTTTCTCTATGTCTTCCTTTAGTTTTTTTGAGTGTCATTAAGATAGTTGTTTGAAAGTCTTTGTCAAGTAGATCTGCCATCAGGTCTTTTTCAGGGATAGTTTTTGTTGGTTTATTTATTTATTTTCCTTTGAACGGGCCATTCTTGCCTGTTTCTTTGTATGCTTTGTGATTTTCTGTGTAACACTGACATTTTAGTCTAATAATATGGTAGTTGTGGAAATTAGATTCTTCCCCAGGGTTTGACGTTTATTGTTTTTCACATATTTGTTGTAGGTTGTATCTGTGTCAAGGATCAGCCTGAGGTATGAACTTAATTGTCTTCTCAGACCAGGTTCTGAGTCTGGGCCTTTCCCTGAGCACATGCAGTGATTTTCTGATTTCCTTCATATATGTAGCTACTATTGAATGTCCCAGTCTGCATTATCTAGTTCCCAAAGGTGGGGAGAGAGAGAGAGAGAGAGAGAGAGAGAGAGAGAGAGAGAGAGAGAGATACACTACCACATTACCATTAAATCTTCTGGAAGTCACTTAGTCGTGGGGGCGGGCTTGCAACAACAGTCACCTGCCTCTTTTTTTGCACCTCTGTGGTCACAAGCACCCATAAGCAATTAGAGCAAAGATCCTTGGTATTTGGAGGATGGGGTTCTTGCTTTATGGTGATGTAAGGTAGAAAGAGTGTATATAAATTTAAGTTGCTATTTGATTCTCTCCCTACTTGGGAGAAGATCAACTTGGCTAGCCCCATGGCTCATGGGACTAAGAGATGGAGTAGAGACTGCCAACCTAATTCTGTGTTAAATCTAAATTCTGAGAAGTGACTAAAGCTGATGAAAGTTGTGCAGGAGTGCTGAGATCCAAGAAGTTGTAAGGTAAGGTCTGGTTCAGCTGAAGGATCGAGACACAGCTGGGACAGTCACAGTTTGGAACAGGAGTCATGGCTTCTGTGATCTCACCTGCTCTGGGTAGCAGTCAGAAGCTTTGACTAGGCTGAGAGCTATGAGTATTTTAAGGGTAAAGTAGGACAGTACCAGCCACTCAGTTATTCTTTTCCAAAGCTGCTTGGGCTATCAGCTTCCTTTGCTCTATCTCCATGCCTTTGCTGAATTGTACCCAGAAAGTCAGGTTGTTGCAATCAGGCTAGCTGTTGGAATGGAAAGTGGCCCCACCAGTGTGTTCTTAATCAACCTCACCAATCTGACAGCATGTTCCCAACCAACTCCCCATTTTCTTGATGGTTGAACTACTTCCATGGGCAATCAGAAATTCTGAGTTATTCCCATAGTGAAAGACCTTCAATATCATTTGGTCAACTTTCAGGAGAAGCGAGACTGAAGAAAGGCCACTGCCTTGATTCTGGGTATCCACATACAACTGTCTTTAGCATAGAAATCCAGGGAGTTTGCTGGTTTTCGCCTAGAAACACAGCTGCAGTCCCTGTACCCTTGATTCTGAATGTTGTACTTAGAGCAGAGCCACCTGTCTCTATATCTGTATTTTCTTCCCAAAGAGCTGAGTGATTGCCTAGAACAGCTGTGGGTA